GTGTAATTACAAAACTATTGTTAATAACAACAAAAAACGATAAATAAATTTTCCCGACCAACGGCTCAGTGAATGAATTGTGAGTTAATTTCATTCATTGAATGCATCGCTGAATATTAAATTAAGTGAAATTCTATACAATTCTTATGGCTTTTCATAAAGTTATGCATTCATTACTAATACTCCTCTATTTTCATACACAGAATAAGTTAATAAGTTTTGCCTCAAATCGTAGTCATAGTGTCTCTCGAAAAAACACTTTTCTGAAGAACTACTCAATATTCCTCTCTCTCTCTCTCTCTCTCTCTCCAAGTTTTATCGCAAATTGTTATTCAAGTGTTTATTTGTAAGTCTTATCACAAATGTAATGCCCTTTTCTTACTCGCAAATAAGGGCCCAGTATTCAAATTCAGTGCAGAATTGTGTCTCAATTCTCAATACATTTATTCATAGATATATTCAATAAGAGTAAAGCAGTTATATTTCAATACGTTTTGTTCACGACTTAATTAAAATTCAAATACAGATTATTTTTTAATTAAACATTTTCTTTGAAAACATATGATGCCATAACTTATGGCCCATAAGTCTTCCTTTATTTTAAGCTTTAAATTCAATGAAGTTTTTAGACAAATAAAACATAATATTAAATCCTTAACTAAACAATTGTTATAAATATAAAATCTAATTATTGATTAAAACCAGTGATTTTAAAAATTGTTTTATTTTATAAAATGCATTATAAATAAGTAATGGACACATTCTGTCAATACCAATGAATGAACTAATTTTAATTAGTTTTGATCACAAAAGCAAACAATTGCCGTCACATTATATCCACGCAATCAAAACCATTCATGAATTGATTGATTAATAAAAATTTATTCTATATTTCATTAAAAATTAATTCATTGAATAATTGATAAGTTATTAATTATATTTATTAAATTAAATCAAATACAATAAATGGTAAATATACTACATTTAATACATGTATTAATGTTTTTTAGACACATGTTTTCCATAATAATTGTTTTAATACTATTGGGTTTATGGTCGGAGAGAGTAAAGACCAGGTATTGTTCACATTAAAAGTATTTAAAGCAAATTAAAATGATATATAATTATAATTTTAACCGAATCAGAGCCGACGCTTCGGGAGAATTGGCCAGAATTCAAAACATTAATATCTCAGACTTATTGGATCACATCCTCCACGGCTATGACAATCACATCAGACCTGATTTTGGTGGTAAGTCTCATATGATTCCCAATTATAAGTTATACTTTAAAACAACTATAAATAGTATTAATTTTAAATCACATTTAAAAATACAAATACACTAAAAATATATTGTCGTAGGAGTGAAGAAAATTTCAAATTATTAAAACCATTTATTCTGTAATACATATCATGTATGTATTAATACTTGTTAGATATAACATAATAACATTTAAAAATACAAATACACTAAAAATATATTGTCGTAGGAGTGAAGAAAATTTCAAATTATTAAAACCATTTATTCTGTAATACATATCATGTATGTATTAATACTTGTTAGATATAACATAATAGTAATGATAAGTAAGATATAAGATAATAACAGGAGAGAAATCCAAACAAAAGCAATTTCTTTGTGTTTTATTCTTCTTATAAATGGAGTGAAAGATAAGCAGAAAATTTGATACAAACTCTTATCCTAAAAAAATATATTTTGCTTTCAGCTATATATTAATGAATACCAAAATTACGTGAATTTTAAGTCCTCTAAACCTTTCAAATTAAGTATCCACTGCTTTGAGGGCTTTTCTACCACAATAAAAATGCCTATTTTTTTTTGTTCAAAGTTGACAATAACTTGTAATACATTTTATAATATGATATTCTTGTGTAACAGAATCTGTTTATATATTTTTAAAGTGTTTGTCAGTAAAAAGTTTATTATTTGTATCGATTCTTTTCATTTTGTATGATATTAATGATGATCTGTTTATTGTTTGTTATATTATATCCAGATTTGTAGTTATTTTGTCATTCAATTCAATGTTCAGTCTTTTGTTTGGTTTTTTGGACATTATTGGCAACAATCGGTTTATTGAATTATTCTATACCCAATTCCTCATCACATGATTGTTTCAATGATAACAATACTAACTATTATTCTCAATAAAATACTGATTAATTTAGTTAAGTCTGAATGACTACATACTTATAATCAAACTATGGTATACTGATTGAGCGAATTCATCGAATTGTATGTCTAAATCCAATTTCAAATAATAAATACCACTATGTTTTCACTTCTCCCGTAAATGTAATGAACATAATATGGGCTTTGGTTTAATATTATAAACATTTAACATTATATTTAATGATTTTATGTATTTAAATAGCATATTTTGATGGGTTAAGTCTTTTAAATTGACATTTTGTACGATAAGTGCTTACATTTGCAAATATATGGAGCATTTTTTTCATGCAATAATATGACTAAACCTTATATATTTCTGTGTCTCCATTGAGTTGACTTAAATCACACTCAAATACCTGCAAATCAGCACTTTTTCTGGTATTAATATTAATATTAAATAAAATATTTTTCTCTAGAAATAAACCCTTGAAATAACAAAATCATTTACTTTATAACTTTTTTACTTTTATAACTTTCTATATTTATTGATTGATTGTATGAAACTTTGCTGTAATGTTAAGTGAAATAAGAGTTTATGTTTGAAAGTAAGTGATAGTCGGATGTAATGAACAGAATATAAGAACACAACAGAATAGATATTATATGCTTTTGCATCGGCTTTGAATGAAAATCCAAATTGGGATTACATTTCATCAAAACCCATGCAATCATTGCATAAATACTTCATTTGGCATTCAATTCTTAAATGGGATTATAAACAAAATTGTTTGCAATTGAAATGAAATAAATTTCAAGTTTTATATACAATTCATTGAATAATATTGAATTTTATTTCTGAAAACCTGAGGTCCGCCGACAGAAGTGTTTATCGATTTTCATGTGCGAAGTATGGGACCAATCAGTGAGATAGATATGGTATGAATTGTCACTGTTTTAAAATATTTTAGACAATACACTATTATATTGACACTTCGTTATTTGCAAAGTTTGTCCGTTTTTTATTGATTGTGTAAACTTTGATTGCAATCACTTTAGACATACGTAATGGACTGCTATTTTCGTCAGACATGGACTGATAGGCGTCTCTCATATAAAACCAAATCATTGATGGAAATGAATGCCAACCAAACCCTCAGTCCTCCCGCATTAGCCCTTTCCATATATATGTTGGACAGGATCTGGAAAGTAAGCTTTGTATTCAATCAAACTATACTATCGATCATATCATGTGTATTCATAACTACAACACTTAACGCTAAGATACAGTTTAAATCATTTCATTGACACAATCGGAAGATTCAATCATAAAATAACTTAAATTCAGACTTTCTATACGTAATCTTTTAAAGCAATTTTTCAGTAACTCTTGTGTAATGCCTTATTATAAATGATTTTCTACAGTTAAAGTAGAAATTATCTTAAATTTATTTCAATTCAAGTTTTTGTAAAAAGATAAAAATATTTAGAAAATTCAAAGAATTTTTCAATTGTGTTGAATATTGTAAGAGATATTCAAATTGAAAAATGAAGTGAAATGTTAGAAAACTGAATTGAATTCACCGTAAGTTTGATAGATATAAATAAATGGTCTATTTTTAGATTTCCTGACGATTAGCTCAATTACAAGTTTGTCATATACTTTAGGAAAACCATAACCTCGCTCTCATATAATATCTAAATACTTCTCACACCTGTAACAGGCATTACATCAAAGTATATAATAAAATCTGAGTTATATGTTGTCTTAAGTATTAAATGTCGATAATATGTTATAAGAAAGCAATTAATAGACTGTAAGAGCACTTACCGATGTGTCTGATCCTTAGCCGCCGACATATTTCCTAAACTCGCGTCAATCACATCTGCACGTCATTACTCTTCCCAATAAGTTTGTTCGCATCTATTCTGATGGAAAGGTCTTGTATTCATCGAGGTATTCATCAAAATTCCCATTAAAATACATGTCTATACATGTTTGCATTTATTTATAATATTGCATAGAATGACAATCACAGCCAACTGTCCGATGAATTTAGCCAACTTTCCAATGGATACTCAGGTGATCACAGTCTCAGACAAAAATGAAATTTTCAATTGATTTTATAATTGGTTTTTTCTTTATGTTTGACAGAGATGTCCGCTCGCATTAGGCAGCTGTCAGTTCATTGATTACTCATTCAATTTGATGCAATTTCTGATTATATTATTTATTTAATTCGTAAAACAGTTGGATATTCGATGCAAGAAGTGGTCTATAGCTGGAATCCGGCCCGAAAAGTAGTCATCAATCCCGACATGAAGATGTCTCAGTTTGATCTGATCGCTGTTCCCGTCGGCAATAAGACTAACGACGAACGCAAAGGTAATTACATATCAATTAGTTTGTATTAATGAAAGAATATTCTGTTTATTGTGTATATAATCAACAATCAGACGGACCATATTCTATACTATTGGCCAGTTTTCACTTCCAGCGACACATGGGATCCTTTGTGATTGAAGTCTACGCGCCCTGTATTATGTTGGTTGTGCTCTCATGGGTCAGGTGCTACTCTTCACTCACTTTATTCTTCATTAAATTTCATGTTTAACTAAATTGCAAAACACTTTTAGCTTTTGGATCAACAGAGAAGCAACGGGTGAGTTATCATTGATAATCATTAT